AGATCCAGCCCCGGAATGGGAAACACCTCGGGGGTCTTCGAAGTCCAGATAGGAGGGATGGGTTCTCGTTAGTCCTTTCCCAGGGAGGGGGCCCAGGATGAGCGGACTACAACCACAGATCAGGCTTCTCTGAAGCCCTTTTCCAGCGCCCAAACCCGCATGGGGTAGGGGTGGCGGCTGGAGAACCCCGAGCCTCAGAATGGACCCCTAGACAAGGGGGTGCGCGGAGACCTGGCTTTTTCTCTGTTACCTGCAGTGGGATTCCGACTTCCTGATGGGAGGAAAGTCGAGTTGACATGGTGGGGACCTTTGTTAACCCAACCCATCTCCCTCAGGCTGCACACAGCTGGCTATGGTGGTGGCGGACACCCAGAGTCTAAGGTGCTGTCCGAGGACAGAGGCTCAGTGCCTTGGGTAGGTGATGGCAGTGGCTGGGCACTGCCCAGTGCCTGGGCTGGGCTGGCTGGCTCCAGCCCCTGCCACCAGAGGACTGGTATGGGGGTGGGGTGGGTCATTTTCCTTCTCCCACAGAAGGTAAATCTTTGATTTCCCCCCTGGACAGGGGTCAGGGGCTAGGAGGTGGGGCTCTGGTTCTTCCTCCAGTTCAGCTGCTCCTTGCCCTTGCTGGTGGGCACATGTCTGCCCTGCGCTGTTGCCCCACAGCCTCTCTGTGCATGGTGTGTGTTGAGGGGCGGCGGGCTTCAAGGAGAAGCTGGGGAAAGGGGATAGAGTGGGCCCATACTTTTTCCACCCCAAGATCAGGCCCCATGCCTCATTCCATTCCAATACCAATTATAGGACCTAGACATTATGTTCACACACATTTCCTCCACCTCCCATTTTACAGGTAAAGAAACTGAAGCTCAGAGTGGGAAAATGACAGATTAGATGTCACAGAGCTCATAAGGGCCCCCAAGGCCTGTCTCTCTCTATGGGCTCTTCTTGCCTTGACTTAGCTAGGTCTCTTAGTCCCCGATGACCCTCTTTGGGGTTTGTTTGGATCCTGGCACACCCTTTTCCTGGCTGGGTGTCCTTGGGCAGGTGATTTCACCTATCTGAGCCACAGTGTCCTCCTGGCTCTTGGAGCTGCTGGGACCATTCTGTGAGATGGTGTTCTTAGCACCCAGCCTGCTGCCTGCTATGTCCTGGCTTATTAATCACTGCTACTGCTTTTATCATTGGGCCATTCTCCAGGGGTGGGCACTGCCCAGGCTGTTGCTTGGGAGAGGCAACTCCAGCTTCCCCACACCTGTGACTGCACATGGGCGAGTCCTCAGCAGTTACTATTTAAACAGGTGGTGGCAGTGGGGGGCTGGGAGGGACAAGGCTTCAGCACCTGGCATGGACAGGTACATAACACCAGGGCCTCTGCCTCGGCCAGGCAGAACAGGCCTAGCCCTGCTCCCCTGAGTCCTCCTCCTGCCCCCTCCCTGTCACCTGCTCTTGTCAGCTGAGAGGTATCCTGGGCTGGCCTTGCCTCTCTGGCCTGGCTTGCCTGTCCTCATAGTGGGGATGATGGGGCCACTTACCAGTTTCCGCAGGGCTCCCTCATCCAGCCCAGCTAATGTTTCGTCTGCCATCTTGCTGGCCCCTAGTTCCATCCGTCCCCTCCGTTCTCCAGTGCCTGTGGCACCTGATACCAGCTCAGGGAATTCTGCAGGGGACAGACATGCATCAGGCCTGCTGGGGCCTCTAGAAACCACAGGCACTTGGGCTCTGTGCCTCAGTTTCCCCATCTAACCCACAATCATCCATTGCTGTCCCATTCCTGTTATCTGTTATGTGGCTCCCGTGGGAGGTGCCCTCTGCTCTAGGGTAGTGTGCTGGAAACCTCAACACACCAAGAGTAGAAGTACCTGGTTTCAGCCCAGCCAACTCGACTGCTAGCCTGCTGTGTGGCCTAAGCTGGACCCTCTCCATATCTCAGCCTCATGAAACAGGGAGGGTAGGAACCTGGATTGTGGAGCCAGGACCCAGCAAGACCCACTCAAGCTGTGCTCACCACCAGGGGGTGCCCGCCAGACTCTACAATGTCCTGCCCCACCCACCCATCCCCAGCGCCTGCCCAGCCCCCACTCACCCCAAAAGCTCAGCCTCTGGCTTTAGGCTAAGCCCATGTCCAAGACCTTGCTGCCTCTGCCGCTCTCATTCCCCTAGGTGAGTTACGCCATTGGAGGTAACACCCTGTCTTCCAATTCTTGAGGACAGCCTTCTGTACACACCCCTCTCCACTCCTCCTTTCTGCCCTCCTTCTGATGCCAACTGTCCTGACTGCATGAAGCCAGGTGTCCAGGCACCCAGCTCCTCCTGCCAATTCATGCACTTAGAATTCAGTTTCCCAGCTGGAAGTGCCTTCCAAAACTGATCCGTCCAGCTTCTGGACTTAGGCAAACAGGATTGGAGAGGGCAGAGAATTGTCACGGGGAGTAAGGAGGATCCGAAAGACCCAGAGGGCAGGGAATGGATTTAATCTTGGCTTGTAAAGTCCCCTTCCAAAGTGCCCTCAGGGGCTCAGGACACTCCCCCTTGCCCTATCACTGCCTATCAAAATGGCCCCCTAAACCTTGGCCCAGCCTCCCACTGCAGCTCTGCTTCCTCCTGAGGCCCTAACGCCTTTCTGGAATTTGAGGGCCCACAGCCTGACACACCTTAGGTGCTTAGTTAACGTATGTGACTGAAATGGCCCCAGGATTGCCCCCGCTCCTGTTGATTCATCACTCGGTCATTCTTCCCCCATCCCCAGATCAGTCACCAGGCAAGTCACCCCATCCGGTGAATGGGTTGGAGTTGGGGGTCCTTGTCCACACAGTTGGGATTTGTTGGACCCTGCCTGTTCAAGTTGCTGCTTGCTTTTCCCATCTATATAGGCTTGGGCAGGTGGCAACCTCCCAGCCACCCTCTGCTGGGGCCCTTGACCCTTGTCTACCTACTTTGGGGTAAGCTTCCAAGAACGTCACTCAGCAATCACCAGACTTAGGTTCTGTGGACATTCTGAGTTCCTCCATGTCTCCTGAAGAGGGGGGACCCTAATGCATAATATAGGACTTTCAGGGAAGTCTCTTTCTTCTCAGGGATTCCCGCCGCTGCTCCAGTCCCATGGCTCCCTGTCACACAGTTTGGGGCCCCCGAAGATTGTGAGGGGCCTCAGAGGAATGTAGGCACTTCCTCAGGGTTTCTGCCCCCACAGACACTAGCACCCCTGGGGGGCGTCGAGCCTCCTGGAGGTCCGTGAGCGTCTTTCCCCGAGGTCTCAGAACCTTATCGCATGGCTTACAGCCCCGTGGGTAGGTAGGGGCTCCCAGATCAGGGAGTCCCAGAACCCTGAGAGTCCACACGTCCGGGTTCCACCCCCAGACCCGTTGGGGGTCCTGCTGCCGCCCGGAGGCCCGCACACCCACCTCTCAGTCCAGCCCGCCCGTCTGGCGCGGGCTCAGGTTAAGTAGTTCGGGATCCAACAGATGGACTAGGAGCGGTCAGGGGGAAGGCGCGACGACCGGGATCCCAGGCAGGCTCAGCAACCGTCCCCGGGATTCTGCAAGCGCCGCCCGTCCAGCCGGGCCAGCAGTCCCGCCGGCTCCGCCCCGCGCCATGGCGCGAGCCAATCCTCAGGAGGGTACCGCCCACCCTCGTGCCCCATTGGGGAAATTCAATTTGGCAGCCACGCCCCTAGTGGAGGTCCCGCCCCTCGCAGGCCTAGGTTGTAGGGGATTGCAGTCTTGGGGCCACTGCTGGCGCAGCCTTGACTGGTCGCGTGGGCGTCTCTAGGAGGACGTAGATTTGCGCCAAAGTCGAGGAGGGCGTCCAAAGCCGGGGTAAGTGGCCCGGGATCGTACTATTCGCGGAGCCTTCAGGCCAGCCCCTCTCCGCCCTCCTCTTTGTTCGTGAGACCTTGTCCCCTCCCTCGACTCCGCCCCCTCCTCGCTTCAGTGCCCCGGCTTGGCCGATGCCCCCAGGCTGCTTTCGGGATACCTAGTCCGGGCCACCTCCGAGCAGGGAATAAGTGACCGGGAGCCCCTTGACCCTACCAACGTTGGAGCACCTCAGGGGCCACTTTCAGATGGAGCAGGATCAATCGCACAGCACACTTTCCCCAGGCGCACACCTTTGCGCAGACATTGATCTTATCTGTGAATGGTTCTCCCTCGACCTCTTGCAGCCCTGGAGTTTTATTTTGTTTTTGTTTTTATTTTTTAATGGAAGTACTAGGGATTGAACCCAGGACCTCAGGCATGCTAAGCATGGGCTCTACCACTGAGCTATACCCTCCCTCTCCCCGCTCTGGAGTTTTAAATAGGAAATACGGAGTTCAGAATCTCATTCGCCAAATGGAGGAAATTGAGGCCCAGAGAGAGAGCCAACACGTCCAGGACAACACTGGGAGTCAGCTAGGGGCCCAAGAGCTGAGACTCACTGGGGAAAGCCACCCATCCCCTGTGCTAGAGGTCAGGAAGCCTCCCACAGGTCTCTATGGAGACAAAAGGGCATTGGAGCTTGGGAGGTGGGGTCTGAAGTCCTGTCCGTTAAAAAAATATCAACTCATTTATTTTGTGCTTGCCATGTGCCCGGCGTATAATCCCTACAGTGACCATTTGAGCTCAGGATTACTGTCCCATTTTACAGTTGAGGACAACTGATAGTGGACCTGCGATTCATACCAGCACCTTTTGAATTTAGAATCTGTGCTTTTAACCACTATGATGTGGGGTTATGGGGAAGTGGTTTCAGCCAGTTGCCCCAGCAGAGCCCCTTGGCCCCGCTGACCAGATCCTCTGTGACCACTTTCCACCCCACCTCACCCCTATCTAGAGAGAGGGCCAGTATCCACTCCGAGACTCTGTTGAAGATGTCATATTTTATTTCGATATCCCTGAGAAGTGGTCCCATTTTACTCGTGGGAAAACCACGGGGCAGAGAGGGAAGAAACTTAAGATCACACAAGAGAAGGAGCAAACAGAGCCCAATTTGGGGGCTATAGTTGGAGGTCCTCTTTCCTGGGCAGGCCTGAACTAGGCCCTCTCTACTTGACCTAGATGCAATCCTATTTTCCAGAATGAGGGTCAGTGACCTCCAAGGCCCACTCGGTTCTATTCAACCCTCGTGCCCCATTGGAACAGCCCCTTGGAGCGGAACACATATAGACCACCTGAGTGGCGACTGTCAGCTCCAATGAATGGCCTGCTTCATGCTAGCTTCGCACCACCTGCCCCCCCAAGCAAGGAGGAACCGCACAGGTGAATCTCTGTGTATGGACTTAAAGTGCCTACCTGCGCTCACTAGTTCTGGGTAGTACTGAAGATAAGCATGGGTCCTGCCCCTCAGTCAAGCCCCCAGGGCTGGGGTCCTTCTCCAGACCTAATTGCCTTCCCTTCCTATCTGAAAGGGGCAGAGCGGGATGCTGGTGAAACAAAGATCAAAGGGCAGCCCTGTGCAGTACTGGAGAAGCCTGCAGCCACAGCACAGGGAGGAGCAAACATCCTGTCAGGAGGCTCCTGGTGTCTACTGAGCAGCTGTTGCATGTCTGACACAGAATTTGCTCTGTTGCAAATTGATCACTGTGTAAGATGTGTTACCCGGATTCTACAGAGGAGGAAGCTGGAGCTCAGGGAGGAGAAGGCACCTTGGATAGTAGTGGCATTCAGACTTGAGTGGAATCACGCCCCGTACCAAAGCCCCTTTCCTTCACCTAGCTGCATCTAGAATGGAGGAAATCCTGGAAGACTTCTTAGAGGAGGTGAAATGCACACTGATCCTTGAGGAAGGGTGCCAAGAAATCCATCCCGCAGAGAAGAGGAGGAAAGACAAGAAAAGATAATTGTGGCAGAGGAACAGTGTTAATAAAGGCCAGGAGGTTTGTAAGTGGGAAAAGGCGGAGAGCTGGGCTGTGGATGGAGCAGGAAATGGAGATGGGGGTCCTCCCATCTGTCAAAGGCCCTGAATGACAGGTGAGCAGGGTGAATATATCTTGTGGGCACCGGGGAGGCCTGGGCTTCAGTCTGTCCATCTATAAAATGAGGGGCTTGAACTGGCTTACTTCAGGCTCTCCCAGGGCAAGAGGCTATAACAGAAAGGGTCCAGATTCTTCCAGGTCCAACCCTGGACTGGCAGACTGGGGAGTGGCTGGAACAGCTCAGGGGCCAAGGGTAATATTTTGCTCCAGTCTCTTAGCCTGAGAATAAATATTTTACCAAGCTGGCAGTGCCAGATCCCTGAAACTCCCTGGCTACCCCTCCCCCCAGCCAGTATCCTGCAGAGAAAGCCCAGGCCTGGGATCAGGAGGCAAGAGGAACGATGAATCTTAGGCCTGGCTCCAGTCCAGGCAAAGTTTGGGTCACCTTGGAGCCTCAGTTTCCAAATCTGCACAATGGGGGAGTTGTGGTCTGAGCTTTCCGAGCCCTCTGCCCCCAGACTAGACAGCATAAAATTCCAAGAGTTTTGTGGGAGACCCCACAAGTGGCTGTGAGGCCAGCCAAGGCCAAGACCTTGGGCCTATGAGGGAGTTCAGGGGCTGCTGGGCACTGGGAGGAATGGAGGGATCAGGGATGGGTTGGAGTTGGGCCTGCTTTTGGGGTCTCAGAGCCTAGTGAGAGCAGGGGAGGGATGCGATTTGGGCTCTAAAAGTTGTAGGAAAAAAGCCCTCTCTTGCTTTTTGGTGTGGGTGGGGGCTGGGAAAAGACACCTGGAGAAAGGCGCAGTGTGAGCAAAGGCAGGCAGATAGGACTTGAGGACTTTCCTGGGGAAAGTCACGTGGGCGAGGCTGGAGCATGGGGACCTGGAGGAGGAGAACTAGTTCTTGCTGGGATTGGTTGGATTCCATGGCTGCGACCCTCTTCCTCATGGGCAGACCTAGAGGCCCCCAGGGTCCTGGCCAGCAGTGCCAGAAGTGGGGCTGGGGCCCTGTTTGGCAAACCAGTTTGGCAAGACTATCTCTTCCATGATGTCATCCAGCTGCTGTGTTCTCTGAGGACAGTGCCAGACAAACTTCCGGCCTTGGAGGAGAAGGGGGCCCGGCCCTAGGTGCTGAGGGATGGGAAAGGCGTGACTCTTCAATGTAGGAAACTTGGAAGCAAGTGGGCCCTGGGAAGGAGGTGGGGCCCTGAGATGCCCACTGGGCTGTACTGAACCCCTGGAGGACCAGCCTCTAGAGGGGCTGGCCTGGACTTCTTGGGACTTCCGATAGTTCCCTGATGCCTGGTGTAATCTAGGCTTATGGCAGGGGTCCCAGATAGTTGCTGCCCAGTGGGTTGGAACTTGGCTCCAGATCACCCATAAACTACATGAGTGGCAGTTTTGTTACTATCATGAACCTCACAGCTTGAACCTTGTGAAGCAGAACCGTCATTATACAGACGCGGAGGCAGGCTTAGCAAGGCCAAGCCACACTAGCCCCTCACACAGGATTAGAACCCAGATCCCTTGATCTTAACTGCACTACCCTGCCACCTGCCATTTGGGGTCTCTGCCCACATGGGGCCTTGTCATATTCTTAACTACTGGTGACCACAGCAGCTGGATCGTGACATCATAGAGTCCCAGATGCCTACCCTGTGGTCCAAATAGGTAGTCTGAGTTCCAGAGAGGGCAAGGAACAGGCTTCAGGTCACACAGCAACTTGGAGGTGGAGCCACGCTCTACCCCAGATCCCCAGCCCCCCAAATCCCTTGTTTCCCCCTCAGGGTCTGGCACATCCAGGCATGAAATAGCAATAACCAGCACATATTGAGTCCCTACTATGTGTCATTCACTCATTTAATCATCACCATAGCCATGGGAGGTCGGTGCTAAGATTAGATCCATTTTACAGATAAAGAAATGGAGGCTCATGGAGGGGAAGTCACTTGTCCAAGTTGACATAGTATGTTGGTGATAGGGCTGGGATTTGAACCCAGTTGTGCAGACCCTTTCCCCTTGCTGGACCCAATAGGCCTCATTGGAGGCATGAAGACCTCTATACAGGAGGGTGGGTGGCCCCTCTGCAGGCTCTGGAGGCAGGCAGTGTCCAATTCATAGTTTCCATGCAGGCCTGGTCTCCCCGGGGTGGGCAGAAACGTGCTGAGGCTGCAGAAGTGCTCTGAACCTTCCCTGAGGAGGTGGCCTGAGGAGGCGGCCATGGTGGGAGGGAGTTTTTGGGGCAGACCTCAGAGCCAAGTGCAGACGTGGCGGCTGGACCTGCTGCAGGCGAGGGAGGGCAGGCGGGGTGGGGCCCAAACCCGACCCGGCCTCCCAGCAGTGTTCCCAGCCCTCGGGCAGCCAGGCCCGGCTCTGCCTGCCCTTCTAGCTCCCCATCTGGATTTGAGATGCTGAGCCTAATAATAGCCGAATGGTAGCAAAGGCAATGCCCTGAGCTGCAGCCGGCGGTGGGGCTGGGACCCCCATCATCTCACGCTGGCCCTGGAACAGGTTCCAGAATTTTAAAAATAATAGCAAGGGCTCATGCAGCATGTACCTGCACAAGGCATCGTGCTAAGGCCCACAGTAACTCGTTTATTCCTCATGACCACTCTGTGAGATAAGGCTTCTATTAGCTCTATTTGTCTTAACCAAGTAAATAAAACCATTCACACTACAAGAGGTAGGAGGAAGGGACAGAATTTGCACAAAACATAAAAAATTTGTTGACCCAGGCAAGATAAAATCAGAAAGACCATCCCGTCTGCCCGGAGGCCTCATGTTTATGAAGCAGGTCCCATGTCCCAGGCTCTAAGCTAAGCTCCTGAATGCTCACCCTAACCCTGTAAGGGGACATGGAACCTGCTTCATAAATACTTACTTAAGAGAAGGAAATTTTCCTCTGATTGGATATTAGTTACTCAACTAACCTTCTAAGAAAGCACAAATCCCCCAAACACCACCGGCTGTTCTGCTGACAGAAGTCTAGAATGCTCCTATTATTGCTTCCTTTAGACTAAAGCTTGGCTCTGTAAAGTGCATCCCCTTCCCAACCCACCCCTAGGATTGTCCCATCACTGGGAAGGGAACAGGGCAAGAGGGTCTGGAGCTAATAGGCTCCAGCTGGGGAAGGGCCAGAGCCAAATCAGACCCTGCTGTGTGTGTGGTCTGTACATTGTGAACATTTCCGCCCACCCAGAAGGAAAGGTCCAAGGTGGGTGAGAGGTGGCTTCCCCTCCTTTTACCCCATTAACCTATCTCTGAGCCTCCCTTTGAAGCCAGACAGACAAGTTCATGAGGATCTGCTGATACTCGGTAGGACTCATGGCACTCACAGTCTGGAGGTGGAGATGGACTCAGCAAACAGAGCCCCATGTAATGTCATTAGATTAGGGTCAGCTCTGTGCAGGTGGAGCCACATGGCACTATGGGAGTTTGCCCTGGGGCCTACTTTAAATTATGTTTAAAGTTTTGTTTTGAATAGATAATCCTGGGAGGTCAAGGAAGGTATGTGTCAGGAGGTAATTATGCTCAGGTCCAGAAGATAAGAAGAAATTTCCTGAACAAAGAGTTGGTCTTGGGATGAGGGATAGTGTTCTGGTAGCAGGAACAGGCTGTGCAAATGTCCTAAGGCAGGAACAACCTCCAGGAACTGATGGAGGACCAATGCAACTGGAGTTTGAAGGGTTAGGGAGGAGCGAGGTGTAAATGAGGAGGGAAAGGAGAGGGGAGCAGGGCCAGTCCCTGTGGGCAGGACTGGCTACATAATTTGTGGCGCCTGGTGCAAAATGAAGATATGAGTCCCCTTGCTCAAAAATTATTAAGAATTTCAAGATGGTGACAGTAGAGCATTAAGCCAAGCATGGGGCCCTGTGCAACTGCACAGGTCATACACCCAGGAAGTTGGTCCTGCCCTTGGACCATAGTAAGAAGAAAGGACTTTGCTGTGATGGCTGCAGGGAGCCACTGAAGGCTTTTGAGTGAGGGGTGATAAAATCTGATTTGCATAAACCCAGGTGCTGTCTCACTATACCACACCTGGATAGTCTGTCACCCTCTCCTCTCTGCACAGGTGGTCTGATTCATTTTCCTAAAATATTTTACTCAGAACATTACTCTCCTGCTCAAGAATCTGCCGTGGCTCTCACCCCCTAATCAGATACAGCCCAAACTCTACCCAGACACTCAAGACCCTTCATAATTTGTCCTCATTTGATTTAGTTAACCTGCTATCAACATAGGCTGTGCGCAGGATTCCAGAGCTGATGAACTAACCCAAGGGTGCGCATCAACTAGAGAATGGCAAACCAGGACGCGAACCCAGGTCTCCTGCGGTAGGCAACCCTTGCCCTGGAGGAGGGTGTAGCCTCACAATGTGCTTTGTATCCTCCAACCTAGTACAGAGACTTGCACAGTAGGTGCTCAGTATGTGCCTGTGGCAGTGAGTTCCTCCTGGGGCACATCTTTGCCAGGGCAGGTATTTCAGAATCCAGGATGTAGTTAGTGTCCTTCCTATCTCCTCTCCATCACCTCTGCCTAAGCATTCGCCAAAGCCCCACCGCACCCTTGAGTGCCGGAGGGCGGGGTGGGTCTTGCCCATAGACATGTGTTTGGCCTGCACAGCTTTTAAAAAGCTTTTTCAATTCATCGTTAATATTTAAAAATCAAAAAATTTCACATGGCAGTACGCAGTTTTGTTCCTCTGCAGAGTCCTGGGTCTGAATTCCCCAGGGGCAGACGCTTCCTAAGTGGACCCACCGAGGAGTTCCACCCTTAAGTCCCCCATAGGACTGTGAAATTTGAAACTTTGAAGAAAAAGCTCCCTAGTTACCACCAAAGACTCTGACTGCTGGATTTGAAACTTTGAAGAAAAAGCTCTCTAGTTACCACTAAAGATCCTGACTGCAGGATCCTGAAGTCTGACCTATCCGATGCATAACGCCATCTTCTGGGGGCGGGACCACGTGGAATAAGGCCCGCCCCCAGTCTCCTCTAGAGGGTAGGAGGAATGCTTTGCTTCAATTCTTACAACCAACTCCAACTTGATGGCTGACTCCTGAATCCCTGGGGGGCTGAATGGATGTAATGAGGGTTCCTCAGACCACGCTGGTCCCTCCTTCCCAGCCTTTGACGTTGCCCATGCTCTCTGCTTGGAAGGCTCTTCCTCCACATTTTAATTCTGACTGGCTCCTGATTACCATTCAGGTCTCAACCCAAATGTTACCTCCTTAGAAAGGCCTTCCCAGCGCATCTGTCTGAAGCTCCAGGCATTACTCTGTACTGTGTTTTCCTTTTTTATTCTTATTTTTTTTTAATCATAGCACTTATTATCTGAAATTGATTTGTTGCTGTTTGGCTGCCGAAAGATGTGAGCTCTGTGAAGGCAAGGACAGGGTTTGTCTTGCTCATCTCTGAATTCCCAGGACCTAGAAGGTAACCTGGCACCACAGAAGAGGTTCAGCACAATTTGTGGAAAAGTGAACCACTGGACTCAGAAAACACCTTTCCCTGGAGGATGCCCATGACTCAGTGTCGCAAGTTTGGGTGGGAGCCGGTTGGCAATTAGAGAGCAATTAGTTACCAGCTAATTGATGCACAAGACAGCTGTGGGGCTGGGAGGCAATCAAGGGACTGAAGCCCAGAAAGGAGACTTAGGTCTCTTTCTGGGAAAATGCTGAGAGAAGGCAATGAGAAATCCCCAGGATAACATTTGAAAACCTCTTGTGTTCTTGCAAGAGATTTATACCATCTGAAGTGCCACCAAAGGAACTTGGTTCCCTTTACGAAGCTAGTGGATCTGGCCAGGCTCTGGTGATGGGACTGGCCTGTAAAGGAAGGGATGGGACAGATGGAGGAAGTGTCACCCTTTCCTACTTGGGGGGTAAAATACTTTGGGGTATTAGGAAAGGTTATCATGTTTGCAAATACCAGAAACCTCACAGATTAATCTGAGTTAAAAGGGGGCGTTACTGGAAGGCCATCAGAAGTGGTATCAAGATTATAAAACTTTCAAAGGGAGCATATAGCTCAGTGGTAGAGTGCATGCTTAGCACGCATGAGGTCCTGGGTTTAATCCCCAGTACCTCCATTAAAAAAAAAAGACTATAAAAAATTCAAGGTAGAAAGGGGGTGCTCTCAAACTCATTCCGTTGACTCAAAATCATGTTCTAGTTTCCAGACCCTTCTGATCAGCCTGTTGTTTAGAGCTTTGCTTTCAAAGTGTGGTCTGTGGACCAGCAGCTTTGGCATCTCCTAGGAGCCTGTTGGAAATGCAGGGTCTCAGGCCCAACCCCAGGCCTACTGAATCAGGGTCTGTGTTTTAACAAGACTATCAGGGGATTCATGTGCACATTATAGTTGGGTTCATGGCCACAAAAATCAACTGGTTGATGGGGGGACTGTGTCTCTTAAACCTGAGGGTCCCTAGGAGAGCTGCTGCCTTGGTGGTCTCCAAGGGATGGATGCTCCCAAGGGTCCACTGGGGAGAGGGTGGTGAAATTGGCAAATAGTCTTGAGCCATTGAGAATTTACCAATTCTTGGGTGCTAGCTAGGTAGGAGTCCAGCCTACAGCAACCTGCTCCTCAGGTAGGAGATGGGCCTGGGAAAGCCAGGCCTGTGTCCTGCCAAGGAGGAAACTGCTTGGGACCCTGGATCGAATGCCTTGTATGTTGCTGGATCTCTGCTTGGGGGGCTTTATTTTGAAGGGCTCATCTGCTTGGCTGAAGGAAGGCAGAGCGTGGCCTGGGCTGATGTTGGAGCTAAGACCTTCATTCTGCCTGCTGAGGTCTGGGCAAGCAGTTCCTAAAAAGCTTCCCTCAGGGCACAGGATGGGAACAGCCACATTGACCTGGCTCTGCAGGAGTTCCAGGGTACCTTCACCTTTTATCATATTTGATTTTCATAACGATCTTGTATAAAGGACCAAAAAAAAAAAATCAAGCACAGAAGGTTCCTGCCTTTAAAAAGGAGTGTTGCTACTTACCTTATACCTCCCTCTTGGTTCGTTAAACTCTTGTTCCAAAGTAAAAGTGCTGTTGGGTTAGGAGGCTGGGTCATTGGTGAGCTGATCCTCTCACATTGTGAAGTTGTTCCTTCAAAGGGTGCACATGTCAGATCTCTCAGTAAGATACAGGTATCCGCCCAGACTTATTCAATACTCTGGAACTCAAGAGTTTTCCCTTGTAGAGCCAAACCATTATTGGAGGGAGGCAATTCCTACTTCTCCCCGTTACTTCTGCCATGGGAGAGAGGATCTTCCCCCTGCCACCCAAGGGTCCCGGGCATCACTCGGCACCTCGAGGCAGTTCCCAAAATTGCCCAGAGAGAGGCTCCTGAAGGAAACTGTCAGTCTCTACAGGGCTCGCCTTGTGTCTCCAAAACTTATTAAATGACATCATAAGTTAGGCTTGGCAAATAGGATGAGGGAGTCTGGCCAGTGAGGAGAGACAGAAGCCTTGCAGGCATGGATGCAGGCAGGACGGAAATGGAGACTGCCAATAGGCGGAGGTGAGGACAGAGCTGAGCGCCTTGGAAAAAGAATGAACCACTCCAGTTAGCTTTACAGAACACTTTCACAAACATGATCCTCCTCTATCCTCAGCAGCCCTGAGTGGTACCTAAGGTCCAGCAAGGTCATCGAGCTACACATAACCAAGCCATGTGTCTTAGACCAGTGCTTGGTATATAGTGGGTGAAAAGTTGACGCTTGTTGAATAAAAGTAGAAAGTGTGCATTGCATAGCACTTTAAAAAGAACCTAAAGAATGAGAAATTTACATTTTTGCATTCTCTTAAGTATGTCCCCACAAGATAATTACTAATTACAAAAGGACCCTTTACAATAGAGAAACTTGGCAACCACCTCCTTAAACCAAGTGATTGATGTTAACATCACTAGTAGTAAATCATGTTGACAGGATGTAGCCCCTGTGTGATGCCCTAAGAAGGGCACAGCATCACTTCTGTGCTATTCTTGCCAAAAATGCATCATTTCGGCATGATTATGAGAAAACCATCATGCATTCAAATTGAGGGATATTCTGTAAAGTGGGATCCTGGATTAGATTACAAGGAAAATTGGCAAAATTCAAATAAGTTCTGTAGATTAGTTAATAGTACTGTATTAGTGTTAATTTCTTGGCTCTAATAATTACCAAAGTTAGGCAAGATGTTAATATTTGCGGAAGCTAGGTGAGTTCTCATAGGAGCTGCCATGTTGTTACAGAACCCACCCCAAGCCACAGCTGATTGGTCCAGGGGTGGACTTCTGACTTGGGCCAATCAGCCACCGTCTCTGTTCCTACTGCCACCACCACTGCCACTGGAATTGAGATGGTAACTGGTCTGCCTCTGGTTGCTAGGGCCATGAGATGTGAGATACAGAAGCTATTAGCCATCTGCCACATGGAGGAAACCTGTCTGCAACCAGAAGACAGGTAACACAGCAAGAAGGGGGGAGAGAGAGAGAGCGAGAGCGCTGATTCTGTTTGTTCTTGAAGTTTTCTGTCCTTGCCAGCAATGGTTGGTTGGTTGGCCCTGCTGTCCACTACATAACTCCCAGAATCCAATCTCCCAATAACATCCCCTTCCAATAAATCTTTGTTTAATAAGGTAGCCAGGATAGTTTTGTGTGTCTCTCAACCAAAAGATACTCAATGAATATCACTACTCTGAGTTATTTGCGTAAATGTTTTATCTCTCCCACTCATCTGGGAATTGCCAAATGCCCATCTTAGACACAGTCTCCCTGGCCTGCGGCTAGTGAGAAAACTAGGACAATGACTTATAAAGATAATTTTTAAACACTGCTAAATTCTGAGATTAGTCCTTATTAAATTTTATGGTGACAGAAAGTAATGCTTTATTTTTCCCTTTTCTTTAATGCTCTTTGACAGATAACAAAATGTTGGCAACTCTGTGCCCCATGTGGGGAGAAAACTTTACCAGGATGTGAAATCCCAGCTTCTGGGGAACGCTGTCCACGTGTTGATTGCTCTGGGGCAAGGCCCTTGCCTGGCTCTCTTGCCACAGTTCCTGGCCCGGGGCAGGGAAGGAGATGCCTCCAAAATGACTGAGATGAGCTAATGGGTTTAGAGAGCGGTTCTGGTCTCCTGCCTGTCACGAGGAGATGATCTGATTTAAAACTACTACAGGTTGTTCATTCATTCTTTTATGATTTTTTTCAAAGGAAACCTAATTTATGTATTTGCAAGATGCCCCCACTCATCCTGATTTTTCCTTTCAAGCGGACCTCGGATTCATTTTCTCTTTTATCCTCTCTTTTATCTTAATTGTCTAGGATGGCTTGGCTGGGAGGAAAAGTGAGGGCTCCCCCCACAGAATGCGGTCCACTCACTGTGGTGGGGAGAGAGGACTGGAACGGGAGTCAGCTAGCACTGTCGTCCAAGTCTGGTTTCCCCTTGTGCTGCTTGCAAGGGCTCAGGCAACTTGTTCCATTTCTCTGAGCCTCAGCGTCCCCATCTGTGAAATGGGGATGATATCTAGCTGACCTTCTTATAACCTTCTAACAGGGCTGTTATAAGGGGCTGAATAGGGCTTTGGCAGCAATTTGGGAATCAGAAGTGGAGGGTGCAGGTGTCGGGTGTTTGCAGGAGCTGTTGGGGGGCACTGGATGGGGAAATGGGAACGTAGGAAAGTGCTGGGGAGTGGCTGAGTGCTTCCAGCTCTTCCTAGCTCTGTCTGTTCCTGGCATGTGACCTCACCTCTCTGTGCCTCAATTTCTTCATTTGGAAATCCGGGTCCCACAGTCAGGAAGTAAGTCCTCCTGATCCTGCACACTAGGCATTAAAGTTTGCCTTGAGCAGGTCAGAGACAGAGAGGCACTCCAGGTGGAGGGGGCTGCGTGAGCTGAGGCTTGGAGCTGAGAAACGCTGGTCTCACGCGTTTTGTTTCAGGGGGACAATAATAATACTTCTCTATCGTGATAAGAATTAAGCAAGATAATGCAGGGAGAGCGCTTAGCACAGACTGGCAGGCAGCAAATTCAGTTATGGTGTTGGTCCTTACTGGTCTTGCTCTGTTTTACAGATAAAGAAAACCAAGCCTCTGAGAGGTGACGCGGTCGGCCCGGTCCCACAGCCATCGGAGGTCCAGCAGAATTTGAACCCACGTCTTCTTGACTCTCGAGGCCAGGCTCTGAACAACCGCGTTAGTCACCCCATGGGGAGGCCTCTGCTCTCGACCCCAGCTGCCAGCCTGACTCAGCAACTGTGGGTGGCCTCGCTCCTGTGCCTGGGCAGCACAGCCAGCAAGAAGTCTCCCACTTCCTTGAAAACCAAATATGGGCAGACCAGGCCCTTGGAGGCCTGACCCCCAGGCTGGGCCTGCTCCCGCCTGCTCCTCTGTGCCATGGGGCCCTACTCCCTGCACAACCGCCTGGCTCTGCCCCAGAGGACTCTGGGAGAGCATCCATCCAGATCCCCCTCCTCATAGGATCTTGTTGAACAGGTTACTGAAAGGGCATGTGAGACCAGTGTCTCATCCATGTCTCAGGAATTCCTAACTCCAAGCCTTTGTGGTGCTGTCCCTTCCCCCTGGAGCACCTCTCCCTCTCTACCCAGCTCTTATGCCTTCTTTGGTTTCCAATGAGAATT